TTTTAAGGTCACATGAGGCAGATATGTCAAACACTTTAAACGACTTCTTCTGAAGAACTGGTAGTTATAAAATCTTAATATTTGGCAGGTGGCTTCCTGGGAAAGAGCCAAACAAAGTTTGCGAATGAAAATGACCTTGACCTACTTTCAAGGTCACAGCGTTCAAATATGTCAAACAGTTCAAACAGCTTCTTCTGAAGAATTAAAAGGCATAAAATTATAATATTTGGCTGGTGACTTCCCGGGATAGAGCTCACCAAAGTTTGCAAATGAAAATGACCTCAACCTACTTTAGAGGTCACAGAGGTTAACAACATTTTAATGGATTTGTTCTTGAGAACTAAAAGGAATGGATTCATAAGATTTGGCTGGTAGCTTTTTGGAATAGAGCTAACCAATTTGAGAAGGAAAATGACATTGACCTACTTACAAGCTCACAGGGAAAAATATGTAAGCAACTTCTGAAGAAGAATCAAAAAGCATAGAATCTTATAATAATATTTTGCTGGTAGTTTCGACAGATGGAGCCAACAAAGTTTGCGAGGGAAATATTTTTAGTGCAATATAATGTTTAATGAGAATATTTTGCTATGACTGCTTAAATATTCAGGTGAGCGATACAGGCCCTCTTGGGCCTCTTGTTTCTATATGTGATAATTTATGAAAGAAAATAATACAGCTGAGGGAAAGTAATACATTCACTGCGGTAAATACACCATCTCATATCATATAATATGATTTAATCCTGCCAATTGTTCTTCCGTAAAGCAATGTGTCAAATACATTTAAATACTAAATTTTATACATGTTTATTGTACAGCAAACCAAGGAAACAAAACACATACAAAGCGTCTACCTGTTATTGACAAGATGTCGAGTCTGTGGAGTTTTATAGAACGCATGCTGGAGGACCTGGGATGTTGTGAAAACCTTTTCACCAGTCAGCCTCTTCATGGGTTCTGTCCAAAGTGTGGAAGGAGCAAAAACAAGACAGGTCAGTTTCTTCAGGACCACATTTTGATTTTTAAAAAATCTCTTAAAATCGGAAGTCTGTGTCTATCAACTGTGTTCTTACAAGGAATTTATAAAATGATATAATACCAAGATTTACTCTTTTTCCAAGTTTTAAGCATTCATGTTCATGGCCCTTCATCAGGGAGTAAAAAGCTCTCAAGCAAAAACTCATGCCTAATTTTGAATCCAAAAGCTTTCGGGCATTTAGATACAGAAATGACTTAAAGATGAGGGTTATTATACTGCCTGCTGAAGGGCTACATCAAAAGATTTGAAATTGAGTGACTTGGTATATGTACTAAGAGAAAATTGTCAAACAGACTCGAGACCGTATTGAAAAATAAATTTTAGCATAAAGATGTTTCATGACTTTTAATCAAGACCTTAAAAAAAACCAAGAAAAATGTACAAGCTGGTATATCTATATTTCAGTTTGTCTAAGCTAAATTTAGAAAGTTTTGAGTTTTTTTGGTAAATTGTATATTATTATCAAACAAATAAAATACTGTATGCATTGAAAATTGTTTCATTTTAGAAGATGAATCTGAAAAATTAACAAAAATCATTATGAAGAGACGCTGGTCCACAGAGTCGTTAGACAGTCAAAAGGGATCAAAACACCAAAAGATGAGGAGGTTCTCAGAATATACAGCTGAAGGTACGCAATACCTACTTAAACCCTTCGAATGACAACATTCTTCTGTAAAACCTTTATTAAGTCAAGTTCTTTGAAGCTAAACACCTTAAATTAGTGGTCTCATGATAATAACTTTATACTGTAAAACTTTCATGATGTCCATGCCATAAAGAGACAAGGTGTGTAGGGTCAGATCTGGGTTTTTTACCCAATATTTTCCAAAATTTTAAAATAAATTATTCAGCAAAAGATATACTGATTTTCACATTACTATTCATTAGTTAAAATATTTAAGAAAAGTTTGTTATTTTTTTAATTATTTACAAAACCTTTAGGACGTGGATAGGCCTAATGATATATATATATATAGAAATATAGATGTGTAAAATTCACTTGTTCACATTTTAAATTCACATTATGAATAGGAAATTTACTATTTTTGTACATTTGCTGAGTTATTTCCCTTTATCAGCCAGGACTTAAACGCTATTTTCTTGTCGGTTTAATTTAAAAATAGCATCAAACCAAAATCTATCATTTGTCCTTAAAAAAATGCTACAATCATCCCACTAAACTAAATTAACATTATTAAAAAATATAGGGGCCTTCGCCATGCTGATCAAACCTTCACCTCTGGGTTCGTATACTGTAGTGTTACTCATGTGTCAAGTTTTTAGATATTTTATTCTTAAATTTCATCAATAATTACCTTTTGGTCTTTCATTGTGCATGTTCAGTTTTTGTACTGCTTGAAGGACGGAACTCTGATCAATAATGTCAAAAGACAACTTCAGTTTGATAGGGTTTTTAACTATCAATTTAACAGAAAAGAGTAAATAAAATAACTTATGCATATGACTATAGAAGGTTTGATTACTTTGGGTGCAAACGCTCCTTGGAAATCTCTTGAAGTAGGAAAGTGAGAGAAAAATAATCAGTCACTCACATGTAATGTAGATTGAGAATTATAATGTAATGGTTGCTGTTGTTCAAACATCTTAACTCTGTGTTGAGATAACTCTGTATACAGGAGTAATAGATTCTATTAGTCTGTTTCAAGGTGAAGAAGATATTTGATTATTACTAATTCCATGTTAATCCTTTTTAAGACATTTTACAAATGTGAAAGCATTTATTGGAATATCCTGTATAGGACAGTAAATGTTATTAAAATGTTTTTTACATCTACATATCTTGATTAAACAGCAAGTTCCACCACTGCAGACCCCAAACCGATCCATAAGTTAGGGAACGACCCCCTGGAATGGTCAATAGAGGAGGTCATCCACTTCATATGTGATACAGATGCTGCCTTGACACCTCACACAGAGCTCTTTAGGAAACATGTAAGCTAGTATAATATTCAGTAAAGTGATATGATTAAAGTATGTAAATTAGAGTTATCTCCACCACTACCAAGCTCTTTAGGAAACATGTAAGCTTATATAATATTGTGCATAATATATGAAAATTTCTTCAAGTTAAAATATTTGAATTGACTAGAATTTTTAGGAGACTGTCAGGATTAGCTGGGAAGCCCAGGGCCAGTTTGAGCATCTTTACATCATCTCGCAGAATAGGCTCCACCCATTAATTTAGTTCCCAAATTGCAGGGCAATGCAATTGACAGCAATTTTTATACGCCCATCAAATTTGACGGGAGTATTATGGTATGGGTTTGTCCGTCCGTCCGGCGTAAACTTTTGTTCGTCCGGCAATCGCCTCCTACATTTTCCGACCGATCTCTTTAAAACTTGGTATACATTATAATCATGATATGAAGTTGTGTCGCCCTTAAAAGAATTTTGAATCGACAATTTTTGCAAAAGTTATTGCCCTTTGTTCATTTCAGTATTTGATTTTTGCCCGGCAATCTCCTCCTACATTTTGCAACGGATCTCTTTGAAACTTGGTATACATTATAATCATGATATGAAGTTGTGTCGCCCTTAAAAGAATTTGATTCAACGATTTTTGCAAAAGTTATTGCCCTTTGTTCATTTAAGTATTTGATTTTTTTTGTCCAGAGATATTCTCCTACATTTTTTATAGCATGTCAGCTAATTACCGCTCTTAGAATGATGCAGATCTTATTTCAATGTAAGGAAGTATATAACACTATATGGCATTCGACGGGCGTATATTGTTCCGCCCCGCGGTACTCTTGTTGTTTCTTTCGACCTTTGATAATTTTATTATACTGCTTGCAACAAAGTTATTGAAGGGGAGGGTACTGGAATCAGGTTGTTTGTCCATCTGTCTATTTGAAGACAAAACTTTGTTTGCAATAATTTTTCCAATGATTTGAATACGAGTGATAATTGATACACAGAACCCAAACATCAAGGGCCGGGATGTGAATAAAGGAAATCTCCCCAATTTATGGAGTTTTGATCCTTTGTTTAAAAATATTGTTCACACTACTCCTTCTAGGACTGCTCAGATCTGAACGATGCTTGGTACAATGAACCCTTCAGTAAAGTGATGAGGTTTAAAGTATGTAAATGAGAGTTATCTCCACTACTTTAGGAGTTATGTCCTTTCATTAGACATCTTGGTGCGGGGGAGGAGGGGGAAATTAGTCTGCGGTAGTATTAGTTGTTACACAACAAACACATGATGAAAAATAACGTTGCTTTAATTCTTAGCTTTTGTTTAAAATCATTCCAAAAGGCATACAATCTAACTACTTAGTTTTGACCCGTTTCTTTTGCAAATTGTGATTGTCTATGACTTGTTGGCTGAACCCTTTTTTACCATTGTTCTCGTTTCAGTGTATTGACATTTGCACATGAAAAAGACATTAAATAACATCCGTAGCCTTATAAATACAAATGTATATTAGACCATATTTATATATCAAAACATTTTTTGGATTAATAAAAGGTATGGTAGATATACCTTGTAGCCACAGAAGATACAGAATATAAGATATAAAATATCTTTCTACTGTATATGTGATATTAGTGTACCTGGATGATTGATCTATATATATAACAAATATGTGATTATATCATGATCAGTATACTGCATGATATCACTCTAGAGTGAGTTTGGTAAATTGGAAATTAGTTGATTTAGAGAAAAAAGACTTATACACGTATCTATGTAGAAAATAAATCTGAGTACAAAATCTACAGTATGCTGCACTTTTCACTTTGGGCTTTAGTATTAGTTTTGTTGGAGTTGCGTTATTTTTTTATATCATTATTAGACATTATTCCGCATGTATTAGGGAAATGTGTTATTTTGTTTTCTCATGGTTAATTATGTTCACCTAAGAGCATTATTTTAATATCAGGAAAGGATTAATCTTGTGTAAACAAATAATGTTTCCCTTATACAATGAACACTTTGATATGCTGAGATATAAGAATAAGCACAAGAATTTAAATATGCATATCAACAGTTTATTGAAGAGGAGGTCCTGAGAGCATTGGGGGTTGACCATAGCATATTTTTACATGGCGAACACAGTGAGGATCTCAACTAATTTCTTATATGAGTACCAAAAGTTCTTGGAAAACATCAATATTTCAACACTGGTTCTTTCTTAAATGGCAACAACATATATCTATATTTAGTTATATACATTTGTAGGTGCACTTTATTTCCACTGATTTCAGAAATTTATATAAGGAAATTTTGATACATTGTATAAATATAATTCATTTGTGTCACTAAATGAAGTTATTTAAGAAGTGATGGCAAACACAGTCTTTACCAATTATTTCTCTCTCATCGAATAAAAGGGTAATATACATTGTATGGTATTAGTAATGGTTCTTCTTTTGGTTTCTGTTCCTTGCCTTCTTCTGATAACATTTTGTTCAGGATGTAACTTTCAAAAGGTCAAAAATGATAAAATGAAAACATACTTTTGTGTCAAATTATCATTTTTTAGCTCACCTGGCCCGAAGGGCCAAGTGAGCTTATCCCATGGTGCAGCGTCTGTCGTCCGGCGTCCGGCGTACGTCAACTTTTTCCTTTAAAATGCTACTTGTCCTGAATGGCTCAGAGGATTTTGACCACTCCTACTATACAAGTGAAGGGATTTAAACCAAATGCAGTCTGAAGCTTGGTCAGGAGCATCATTGGCCAAAGGGTTCTCAGTTTTGTATAAACGGACGGTATAGCCCCCCCTCGGGGCAGAGGGGCGGGGCTAAATAAGGGGAAAAAAGGTAAATCTTCAAATTTGTTCTTCTCAACCAATTGAAGGATTTTGACCAAATTTGTCCTAGAGCATCTTTGGACAAAGAAGACTCAAGTTTGTATAAACGGAGGGTGTGGGCCTTCTGGCGGCATAGGAGCGGGGCCCAATAGGGGAAATAGAGGATTTTTTTTCTCCTACTATACAAGTGAAGGGATTTAAACCAAATGCAGTCTGAAGCATGCTTAGGGAGAAAAGAATCAATTTTGTTTAAACTGAGGTGTGTGGATTCCCCTTCTTTGGGGCAGATTAGTGGGGCCCATTAGGGGAAATAGAGGAAAACATTAAAGATCCTTCTCCTTCTGTACCGTTGAAGGGATTTTAACCTAACCAAACTTGTTTTAGAGAATCTTTGGGCAAAGGGAATTGAATATTTATAAATGGAAGATGCAACTTTGTTACTTGTACTCCTTTGATAAACCTGAATGGTACTCAGCAGGTTTTAAATTGAAAAATAAAATACCAGGTGAGCTATTAAGGCCCCTGGGCCTCTTGTTCTCTAATTGCAAGTAAAATGACAAGCAGGCAAAGCAATAGTTTGAATAAGATAAAAACAAATAAGTGTCGCCAAGATCCTGTTTCATTTAAACAGCATGTAAATATGTAAAGATTGTTTCTCTATGTTTGTTGGTGGCTGTTGAAAGGATATACCGCCCTATAGGCCAAATGAAGGCCATTTTGGTTGAATCTTTTATTTGGTGCTCTATACATATATGCTGATATATCAGTAAATTGGTCAATTTTGTCTTCTGAAAATGGTGTTTAAGTTTTCAAAATGTGTTGTTTTACTTTCAGGAAATAGATGGAAGAGCTCTGTTGTTGTTGAACAGTGATATGATGATGAAATACATGGGACTGAAGCTTGGTCCTGTTCTCAAACTCTGTAACATTGTGGAGAAACTCAAGAATAAGAAGTAAACCAAAAGATCCATGGCAATCCTGAGGTTGTAGAAAATGTGTTTCTGCTAGCACAATTACATCATTCACAGAGGTTTGAACTTATAGCAGTAGCAAGTTACTGGCTGACAGCATATAGGTATAGTTGAAACTTTGGATGATGTGTATTCTATGATGTGTGGATTAGGGCCCAGTTGTATAAATACTATCTATTGCTTTGAACATTCTGGATAGAAATCAAACAAAATCTTTCACATGCTATATCTCATTAAACAAGACAAATGATTACAGAATCATGATCAAAGTAAAATAATCTGACAAGAAAGAGGTATTCCTTTAATTACAGGAAGAGTCAATCCAAAATTTAAATTAGATAAAACATTAATTAATGACAAGAAAGAGGTATTCCTTTAATTACAGGAAGAGTCAATCCAAAATTTAAGTTATACACTGGATAAAACATTAATTACTGAGAAACAATCCAGAGGTCAAGTTAACTATAGCATTAATTCACTAAGAGTCAATTCCAAATTCAGATATCATACTTGCTAATATTTATTTAAACAGATAAGAACAACCTTGCTTTTTATACGCCCGTCAAATTTGACGGGAGTATTATGGTATGGGTTTGTCCGTCTGGTGTAAACTTTTGTTTGTCCGGCAATCTCCTCCTACATTTTTCGACCAATCTCTATGAAACTTAGTATACATTATAATCATGATATGAAGTTGTGTCTCCCTTAAAAGATTTTTGATTTGACGATTTTTGCTAAAGTTATTGCCCTTTGTTCATTTCAGTATTTTATTTTTGTCCGGAGATTTTCTCTTACATAGCTCACCTGGTCCGAAGGACCATGGTGAGCTTATGCCATACCGCAGCGTCCGTCGTCCGTCCGTCTACTTTTCCTTTAAAACGCTTCTAGTCATGAACAACTGAGCAGATTTTGACCAAATTTGGTCAGAAGCATCCTTGGGGGAAGGGGAACAAATTTTGTATAAATAGTGGGTCTGGCCCCCCTGGGGGCTGAGGAGCGGTGCCCAAAAGGGGAAATATAGCAAATTCTTAAAATCCTTCTTCTTCTGTAGGAATGGAAGGATTTGTTCCATATTTGGTCTGAGGCATCCTTAGGTGAAGGGGAACCAATTTTGAATAAACCGTGGGTGTGGCCCCCCTGGGTCCTGAGAGGCGGGGCCCAATAGGGGAAATATAGCAAATTCTTTAAAATCCTTCTCCTTCTGTAGGAATGAGGGGATTTTGCCCATATTTGGTCTGAAGCATCCTTAGGTAAAGGGGAACCAATTTTGTATAAACCGTGGGTGTGGCCCCCCTGGGTCCTGAGAGGCGGGGCCCAATAGGGGAAATATAGCAAATTCTTTAAAATCCTTCTCCTTCTGTAGGAATGAGGGGATTTTGCCCATATTTGGTCTGAAGCATCCTTAGGTAAAGGGGAACAAATTTTGTATAAACCGTGGGTCTAGCCCCCCAGGGGCCTGAGAGGCGGGGCCCAATAGGGGAAACATAGCAAATTCTTCAAAATCCTTCTTCTTCTGTAGGAATGACAGGATTTTGTCCAAATTTGATATGAAGCAGTCTTGGGTGAAGAGGAAACAATTTTGTATAAGCAGTGGGTGTGGTCTCCCAGGGGGCAGAAGGGCGGGGCTCAATTGGAGAAATAAAGGTAAAACCTTTAAACCTTGAAAACCCTACTTCGACCATCGGGATTATGGGATTTTATCCTTACTTAGTCTGGAGTATCAATGGACCAAGGGGACTCAATTTTGTATAATTGGTGGGTATGAACCCCCCCCCCCCCCCCCCCATGGTTGCATAGGGGTGGGGCTCTGTTTGAAGTTTGTTCTCGCTTTATCTCAAGTGCTGGATGTATCTTTCTGAAACTTTATATGTATTTACAACACCTACTTCATGCCAAGTATTTTAAACATATTCATGGGAGCGATACAGGCCCTCTGTGCCTCTTGTTTATAGCATGTCAGCTAATTACCGCTCTTAGAATGATGCAGATCTTATTTCAATGTAAGAAACTATATAACACTATATGGCATTTTACGGGCGTATATTGTTCCGCCCCGCGGTACTCTTGTTTCTCTTTCAATAAGTCATCCTTTGTGATTAGTTTATTTAAAAATCAATCATGAAAAAAAAAAAAGTAATTATTGTATTGTTGAAATTAAACGACATGTTCTGTTACGTTTACAAAGAAAATTTCATGTTCATGTACCAAAATGTTTATGTTGTCATCATCCTTAATATTTATATATCAAAATACCTATATGATCATTTGAGATGACTATTCGTAAGTCCAACAAGTGTGTACCTAACCTGTGTGTAGATTTCTTTCAACCGGCAAAAGGCACCAAATAAATACCCTCTGGGTTGTTTGTGTTAATCAGATCAAACAAGTATAATTCTTGAAAACATGCAGAAAGATGTTTCTGTGATTTAAAGAAAAATCATGGATGTATTACTTTTGATAAACTTGTCTAATTGAACACCAGGTGAGATCCATGGAATTGGCTGGATTAGACAGGATGTCTGGATACAAAGTATTATTTGGTAGTTTTTTTTTAAGAAAATGGATTACAACTGTTTATCAGGCAGAATGTCAGAAAATGCAGGGGTCAGATTAGACAGGTTTTGCTGTAACATATTTGGCATTAAAATGTTAATTATATACACAGGCAAATGATATAATGGATTTACAGTATTAAAGTTAAGTCAGGTGTGTGTGTTACTTGTTTAATTTAAAAATTGATGCATAAATGAAAACCGGGTACTTAACTGTTACATGTACACTATTTAATTGGCTTATATTTGGCTGTAACTATTTGCTGTATACTATCTTATTTATAGTTGGCTGTAACTATTTACTAGGGCAATTATATTTGGCTATGACAATTTACTGTAAAACTTAAGTTAGCTATGACTCTTTGATACTTTCATTTAGCTGTATGTATTCATTACTGTACTGATAATTGGCAATGACTATTTACTATATGTGGTACTTGTAGTGAGCTATGACTTACTGGTACTGTAATGCTTAGGTTGGCTATGATTACTGTAATATTTATAGTTGGCTTGACTATTTCCTGTACGATGTCAACTGACCTCTCTTAGTTTATCAGCTTGTAGGATTGTATTTTGTTATTGGTTAACTTTCTCTAATTCAAATTGTTTTCAAGTAGACTACTGTTAAACCTTGTTTCAAAGTGTGGTGCAATACGGATACCATACCTCTAAAAGGAATGTGTCCAAAAACACCTAAGGTAAAGCATATAATTACCTTTTACAGGTATAACGTTACCTGTATATCAATAGAAAGTGTACCATTTGATTCCGTGTAGACTTATATTGTAGAGGTAATTTCTGTAAAGTTACCTTAGTATTCATAGAAAAGTACAGAAGTTTGCTTCAGTGATTTCTTACTTGATGCAAGTACGTCCCAGTAGTTTACATATGTTATCTGTCAACTAACTCCTAACTGTTATTTTAATATAAACGTACCTTCTCTACCTTTGTTATGATATATGATAGGTTAATCAGCTACCCAAGTAATAACAGTGAAACAATTTAACTGCACATCTCTTAATGTTTGCTCCAGCAGGTCACATGGTACCCTGATAACTAACCCAGATATCTATGTTACCTACTTACAAGTAGAAACCTTCTTATCAAAGCAGACTATTAGGTCCTAGTCTTACATACAATCATACTAATCACAATCTTATTCTTTTGCTTTTGTAAAAAATACTGTCTATTATGATCTGAAAACAAGATGGCAACTTATAATTATTTGTAGGATTATTTTAACTCTACCTGTACTGTAACTATACCTGTATAGTAACTCTACCTGTACTGTAACTTTCCCTGTACTGTTACTCTACCTGTACTGTATCTATGCCTGTACTGTTACTCTACCTGTACCGTAACTATACCTGTACTGTAACTCTACCTGTACAGAAAATCTACCTGTACTGTTACTATTCCTGGACTGTAACTTTACATGTATGGTGACTCTACCTGAACTGTAACTACCGGTGCTGTTACTATACCTGTACTCTAACTTTACATGTATGGTTACTATACCTGAACTGTAACTACCTGTACTGTAACTACCTGTACTGTAACTACCTGTGCTGTTACTATACCTGTACTGTTACTATACCTGTACTGTAACTTTACCTGTACTGTTACCCTTCCTGTACTGTAACTATACCTGTGCTGTAACTTTACCTGTACTGTAACTACCTGTACTGTTACTATACCTGTACTGTAACTTTACATGTATGGTTACTCTACCTGAACTGTAACTACCTGTGCTGTTACTATACCTGTACTGTTACTATACCTGTACTGTTACTATACCTGTACTGTTACTCTACCTGTACTGTAACTACCTGTGTTGTAACTATACCTGTACTGTAACTTTACCTGTATTGTTACTCTACCTGTACTGTAACTTCCTGTGCTGTTACTATACCTGTACTGTAACTCTACCTGTACAGAAAATCTACCTGTACTGTTACTATACCAGTACTGTAACTCTACCTGTACAGAAAATCTACCTGTACTGTTACTATACCAGTACTGTAACTCTACCTGTACAGAAAATCTACCTGTACTGTTACTATACCAGTACTGTAACTCTACCTGTACAGAAAATCTACCTGTACTGTTACTATACCAGTACTGTAACTCTACCTGTACAGAAAATCTACCTGTACTGTTACTATACCAGTACTGTAACTCTACCTGTACAGAAAATCTACCTGTACTGTTACTATACCAGTACTGTAACTCTACCTGTACAGAAAATCTACCTGTACTGTTACTATACCTGTGCTCTAACTATACCTGTACTGTAACTCTACCTGTACTGGTACTGTAACTACACATGTACTGTAACTTTACCTGTACTGTAACTACACATGTACTGATACTGTAACTACACATGTATTGTAACTTTACTTGTACTGTAACTACACCTGAACTGTAACTTTACTTGTACTGTAACTACACCTGAACTGTAACTTTACCTGTGCAGTAACTAGACCTGTACTGTAAATTAACCTGTACAGTAATATAACTCTATACCTGTACTGTAAATTTGAATCTTTTCAATATACAGTTAGTGCTCATAAATTTTTGTTATTCATAGTAAATTTCAGTTTCCCTTTTTAAAAACATTGCTGTTAAATATTTCCTCATGAATTTTAGTGACATTTTCAGTGGTTTCAGTTGAAAATACTATTGTCTATTATTATATAGTACATCAATGCTAATTTTCATCACTCACTTTGCAAATGGCATTGAGCGATTGAAAATTGGTAACATAAATACTGTAGTGGCTTTCAGATAATTGCCTTCAATAAACCAGAGAATGATAACAAGAATTGTCTTAATTATAAGGAGAAACATAATGAACATTACTTTATTTGATTTGGGCCTAAGTTTCATCAAAATTGGTTGATAAATTTCTTGACATTTCTATAAAAACAATCAAATTTCTGCAAATAGAATTTATCGTGAGAAATCATTTATGGCCATTTACTGTTTATATTTTTGTTTAGGTTACTTTTGATCTATACATACTT